CGTGCTTAAGGCCAAAATGACTTTTCCGACAGTCTCCACATTAATGCGCAGCTTAGTATTGTCCAGCATCACACCCGAACCATCTTGTGGCTGCAGCCCAGAGGGGAGGGAGTCACGGGTTGTGCTAGCAGGCCTCTGGGCTCTTACCCAGCAGAGGCCAGTGGGACTAGCAAGCTGGAGAAACACCAGACAGCACTGAAATAGCCAGCTCCTGGCACGCATGGGGCAATCAAATACCTATTCAAACACAGCAGCACTTCATTCATACACTGTCTTAGGTTCTTCCATCTTGTAGTTCTGTAAATAAGCCGTAAGACAACATTATCCATGATACTCTTCATAACACAGCAATAATTACTAAAGGCTTCATCAAGCCCTGTAAACAGCATTGTGCACCAGTATTGAAAATTAGGAGCTGAAGTTGCACATAAGGTAATTGCCAAGTCGTTTTGCTCAGTGCTGGAAAACTCATTCCATTGCTTTTCAGTTTGTAGGTGCTAAAGGAGTGGCTTTTGAAAGGCATCATCAGCCACTGACCCACATATTGTTTCTTTGTTAACCAGAACTGAGGATGGATCACTGAACACTTGTTCAAGTGATATTTTGCCTGCCCAGATTTTTGCCCTGCTAGGCTTTGCTCCTTTTCTTCTTAGTCCCTACCTTAAAAAAATTGTGTATTTGCACCTTTAAGACACTTTTCATAAAAACTGCGATTTTTCCCCTTGTTCTCTTTCTTTTTTTTTTTTTTGGAAAATGTTTTCTGCTGTATCTCTCTCAGAGATAACCCTGTAGAATGTCTGACTGAGGCACGCAGATAAAAGCTGAAAGCTGCTGAAGTAGGATTTAAATGTCAGGCTGGCACTTATAGCCACATGGTTACAAACATGGTTCAGTACACGCAGACACAACATTTTCCTTCATCCATGCTTAGGAATACCACAATCTCATGTTGCATTTGAGTGCCGTGATGGATAATGATGAAGGAAACCTAACCCATGTGGAGCCAGGGTCTTTTTTTTTTCTCCTAAGATAAATTCTTGTCCAGAAGTATAGTATTTTACTGCAAACCACAGCGTTATGCCACTTGAGTGCTTGGCGTGGCACCCCCATGGGTAACCATGGGGCTGAGCTCATACTGGCATTTCTCAGTAAGTAACATTATGTTCAGTCAACCTGTCACTGAAACCCATTTGGGTTTTAGTTTTAAATCTGCCAGCCAGGGATCAGGTATCTGCACTCTTATCTGATAACTCCATGTCAGCATCTCGAAGCTGTCCAGGCACGTCTGCCTCCTCAAGCGTAACCATGATCACTTTGCCACCTAAAAACTCACCTTCCCAAGTGCTCTGACAGTGCTTTCAGGGTTGCATCAGCCTGGAAGCATAAGCAGATAAAAGGCTGGGAAGAGTCTTAAAGAGCAACAGCTCTAAACCGCCTCCAGCGTGTCTCACACCTCCTGCTGACTGATCTAGCCCCTGGGGATGTGGGTTTGCACCCATCCTGCTGTGGGTCCCCCTCAAACTGTTGTGCTACTGAAAGACTCTCAGCAGCGTTGGACTACTGGAACCGAACTGCAGCAGATGCTCTCCTTGCACTGAGCTGGACTCGCTGCCCAGTGCTATTACTCTAAAAAAACCCCTCCACACTTACACACACCACCCCCCCCCCCCAAATACCCCACCCTGTGGCAACTGTAACTGGCTGTTAGATATTCTCTTTGCCTTTTTTCACAGCCTCAGTGAAGCCATCCCTCCACTAGCCAAAACTCACTCCTGTGTGAGGTCCACTTTGGTTCTTAAATAGGTAACTTTTGCACTCATCTGAAACAGGCCTGCAGACAGGAGGTGACCCAACCCTGTCTGCTCCCATTGCCCACCCCTCAGCCTCCTCCACATGCTGGGACAGTCCTTTGAGTTACTGCTGCACAGGTCAGCCAGCCTGTGGCACAGCCCACTGGCACTGATGTACTGAACCCCTAGAATTTCCATGCATTATAATTGAACATATTTAAACTCCGGCATCAGCCAGAACTGTTAAGTTGCACTTTGTATGTGGCACTGAAAGCTAAAGATGTTTGACCACTGCTACAAGGAAAGTCCAGTTTCATCAAAGGACTACTCAGTTCCCATTGGTTTGGTGCTGAAAGTGCAGAGGAAGAAAGAGCTGAAAATATTCCTGTTCATCTTTCTCTGTGCCCAAAAGGCTGATATAAATGACAGTGCAGCCACATGTTATTGGACATGAGGATGGTGAGCCACTGGGACAGATTGCCCAGAGAAGCAGTGGCTGCCCCATCCCTCCTGACACTGCTCAAGGCCAGGCTGGATGGGAATTAGAGCAACATGGTCTAGTGAAAGGTGTCCCTGCCTATGGTACAGCCATACCAGATTTCAGTGTTCCCATGAGCTGTAGCAGTGGGTGGCTTGTATGCCCTCGCTTCAGGTGGGATTCTTTCAAGTTATCTCCCAGCTCCATGAATTAAAGGAGGTAGTGCTTTAGCCCATTTGTTTAACCATTAGGCCATCAATTAACCATTGCCTGGGCTTTGCTACTTCGAAATTGCTACCCACTGTGTCCATTCAGGCTTGGTCTCCCTTTTCACCACCTTCAGTCCCAAACCATGTGTCACTCCCTATATCCTGGGCAACAGCACACATGTAAACCAGGCCTGAAAATAGCTCCTACCAGAAATGAATTGTGGGATCCATCACTTGAAAGCAGTGCTTCATCCTGATGGAAACTGGATCATGCTGCCTTCAGGGAGAGATGAACCGTGGCCCTTCAGGAGCTCAGGGGCAGGACTGGAGGGAGGCAGTGGGCTCTGATGATAAACCCATTTCCATCCCACCTCCACCTTCCACAAGTGTGTCCCAACTCCTGCGTGTACACAATGCTCTGCCATTTCCCAGGCACAAGCAGCAGCAATTGGATTTTAATGCTTTATCAACAGGAAGGTGGTAGTGGCCTGTAAAACCCTGTCTCTGCTGCCTGAGTGATGAAGTTGGAAGCTGAAACCTCACTGCTGTTTTCACTATGAGGTACACCTTTCCCCTTCTTCTATCCCTCCGGTATGTTTTCATGGCTTCCCAAAGTAAGAAAACATGCACCTCATCCTGTACCTAATCTTTTGTACGTTTTAGTGGGTGCTCACCTCTTACCAAGCCATCCTTCCCCCTTACTACTGGCACTGCTGCAGCAAGTGGTGGAAAGCCCAGCACCATTCCTTGGAGCAAGGCTGCTGGCACTCGCTCCAGTTCTTCCAGCCTGCTCCTGTGGGTCCCAGCCTAGACACCCCACCCCATTTAACCTCCAGCAGCATAGGCTCTGCCCCAGGGACAGCGTGGAGCCTGCTCTCCCTCTCCACCGGCCATTTTCTTTAGCGTTGCATGTAGTTCCTGGCACCAACAAGGAAATGTGTCATGTCGCCCCCACCTCAAAAACGTCGTCCTTTATTGGAGGAATGCCTTGTGCCTGCACTGCTGCCTTGCTAGCAGCATTGTCTCTGGCATTCTCTGCCTTCCTCTGTGGGGCCCTGCATGTAGCAGCCCTGCACTGAGCTTGCTTGAACTTGAGCTTCAGCTTTGTCTTCATCTTGAACCTGTCTGGGCATCACCTCCATCCCCCATTCTTCTGCTGTTAGCACCAGCACAATGGTAGAAGTCAATGCTGGTTGGCTTTGACCTGCACCACAGGTAAATTATCACCCTCATCATCAGCCTTTTCGCTGTGCTGCATTGCTTGCTGATCTCCCAACTGGAGTACTTCCTCTGGCTCCCACACAGGCAGAAGCAGACATGAAGATGATGCTTCCCCACCACCTTCACCTGTTGTCTCCATCTCAGCTGGTGAACCATGGGGCCATGACTCCCAGCTATGGGTCCTGACAAAATGGCTCTGACCTAGGAAAGGTCAGGCTTGAAAATCCTCTTTCTAGCCCTCTACACCAAATAACATTTTTACTTCAGCCTCCTCCCAGGATCAGGGCAGCAAGCAAGGGTGAGCACCCTCTTTCCTATCATCTCAGTGGAACCCTCGTGTCTTTCATCCCCCAACCAGTAAATGTGTGTGTGGCCAGGATATCACCAATGTGGAGTCCCCACGCCTTGCCCACCTTTGATCCAAGAACCTGCTCTACTGTGCTGAACTGAACCAAGCAGTACCCATTTAAGGAAAGCAACATCATTTTAATACTATTTTGAAAATCCTTCCAACCAGAAAGGCAGAGATTAAGGATACTTTGTCTTTCAGATCAACAAGTTACCTGCCATATCAATTCGGACATTTCGGGAATTTTCTGTCACTAGATACTTCTCTCACTTTCTACTGACCTTTCTTACATAGCTACCAACATCATTACTTCCCAAAGGTATTGACAGGACTTCACTTCGCCATAAAACCAAAGAGATACTGCTCCCAGGTTACGTGCCTGATGGAAAGCTTAAAAAAATCAAATGCTTTGTTAAAGATATTTATAGAAGAACTTAAATTAAGCTCAGAAACAAGTGATTATTCCCTCTCCCCATTTACAGATTCCTTTGTTGTCAACCTCTTCCAGGACACTTCTCAGTTCTTCTATTCTTTTTTTTCTAAACACCCATTTGTAGATCTGCTTTTATCCACCCCCTAAAAATGCCCTTTGTTGTATGAGCTTGTACTTTTAAAAGAAATTCTTGCAATGAATATCACAGCTTTGGCCATTTTCATCCCTTTAGAGTTCCATCTTTAATGTTCCTGCTACTACAGCTTTTAGCCACAAGCAAATCAGAATCATTGCATTATGGGGCTTAGCTGTGGAGCTCAAGGGCTCCAACAGCTCAGGTTCCTCAGAACGCAAGTCAGTCCCCTCCACTCAGCTTAGGAGCCCCATCTCTCCCCGCCCTGCCCAACTGCTAATGCTTGAAAATATCCAGGGATTCCAAATGTTCAACTTGCATCATGTGCTTCATAATTTAAGAAGCAGAAGTGCTTCGTAATAACTACAATTGATAAAATATTGTAACTTGTGCTTTTTTTAATAAAATGGAACAAAAGCATTCTAAATCATAGCAGCTTATAGATCAAAACTGTCCATTGGTTAGGAGCATAGTGTAATTAAGAAGTATGAAAACTGCGAAATATTAAAGCCCTGCAGCAATTCAGATTCATGACAAAACCTTCATGCAAAATGAGCAATACTGCCTGACGCTCTACTGATCTGGTCTACCTGGTCATCAGTGAAATATGAGTTTTCTTTCTTGGTAATGGCACATCCTCTTTTCCAAATGGGGAGAAAGGTATGAAGCCCTTTTTGTTAGTGCACAGTAGCTCTTTCCCTAGTTAGCAAAATTCTTTTACAGCACTGAGAAACGAGGACTTTTTGTTTACCATTAGTTGAGGTAAGTTATCTTGCTTTTATTTGGGTTTAAGACTACTGTAAAGGAGTAGCTTTTCAGTTGCAGCATGGTTTGTCAAGATTACAATGTTTATGACTGCATAAAATACATAAGTAAAAAATTATGATTTGTAGAGTTTGTTATCAAGAGCTGAGACTTACATCTTTACAGAACTGCAAATACCTCCTTCCTTACTGCTAGTTGGTAATTTTGCTGGCAAGAGCATTTGTTACGATTTTCTTCGACCTCTATACCCTTTTGTCCAACTGCTGTAAGAACTAGCAAGGAAGTCAGTTATAACTACAGTTAAACTGTTGTAACAGCATTAGACAAGCTGTACTGATTCTTCATTAAAACACCCTTCGTTTGAAGCTACAATGTAAGAGGCGATTCTTTTTGTTCAAAAGAAACTATCAGCATGCTCTGTGCCTTTAACACTTCACATTGATTACAAAAAATTTAACAATGCAATCACTAACATACCCCACTAATGAGAAATTATGAGAAACTGTTTGATGCAGAACCTTCCACATCAGTCAACTCTGATCAATCAGAAAGCTATCAATTTTGAAATTTAGATTTAATGCATTTTCAAGAAGCTAATGAGAAAGGAGCAACTTAAAATAAATACCATCGTTAAAACTGCAAACTGTTACAATGATATATTATAAACTTGTCCTAAATAAACCTAGTGCTTCAAAAATTTACCAGTGAATTCGTATTACAAAATATGTGAAAATACAATAGAATACCACAAAACAACGTCCTTTTTCGGGGTCAACAATGACGCCAAGATGATTCAGTCTTAAGGTTTTAAACTGTTAATAGAACATATTGTAATATAGAAGTTGCCATTTGGTTGAATTCTAGAGAATATCCCCACCCAGAACTCAAATTCATCTTTTTCATTCCTTCCCTAAAACTAGTGCCAAACTTCCTGTCAAAGCCAGTATTTTCTTGGAGAGCTTTAAGTTTAGCCATTACTTATTTTCTACTACTACATTTTGGCAGCAACTATTTATTGGTCTGTTATTGCAAAAAGTGCAATTTAACAATAAACCAGTCTGAAGGTCATTCTATGTCTGAGGATACATACCATATATTTCTTTAAAAATAATCATACTTTTGTAAGCAATACTTTACAGTAGACACCTCAAATCTACCATAGATGTAAAACTTAAAACGAGAAAAATTTAGTCTCTAAATCTTTATACACATATTTATATTTGAGTTTCTATATATATTATATATATACACAAGCACAAGAGTATATATAAAATATATATATCAGATCAAAAAAGAACAAAAACTGGGCACTGTACATAAAATCTTTTTAAAACTCAAACAATAGAAAAACTTTAAACATTAAACAATTTTAATAAAAGTTTCTGTACAATGCTAAGCAGTTTTATTTACATATAGAAAATGTAATAGGAGTAGTGTTTGAAATTACAGAACTCCTTAAAATTTCAATGGCAGGTAATCTGGAAAAAATAACAGCATTCCATTCACAAATATTTTCAAGCAATAAATATGTATTTATAAATAGTGTAAATTTACATCAAGATTAGAAACAAAAATCACAAATCTGAAGTTTATTCCTTAGTCTATGTGCAACCCATTTATCTTTGTGACTTGGCTGTTAATTGTTTTAAATTTTATTTAGGAACCAAAAGTGTAACCGTTATGGTTTCAAAACAAGACAGAAAAACATAAAAGCAGTAAAAAAATTTATATCACCTAACTCTTCACATTAAAAAAAAAAAAAAAAAAAAAAAAGTTGCCCAAAGAAAGACTTAAAATTTCTAACTACCTTACAAAGAAATGACCAGCTAAGCTAGTACTTTTTCCAAGGAAAATTCTGAAGGGGAAAAATGGATGAAACCAACTCATCAGCCCAGAAACAGAGAAATACAAAAGAGGTGGTCTTCAAGTCAGTAGTCTGTATAATGTTGCCAGTTTTGTCAGATATATACAAAACATGGAATTATTTTTTTTGAAGTACAGCTGGATGAGCTTTATTTGTTTTGAGTTCTGGAGTAGGAGGCAGTGCTCTCTCCTGTCCAGTTGGTTGACACTCCGCACTTGGAAGGTTGCATAGACACAGCTTTCAGCCAGCAGCCTTACGGGATAGCTACAAAAATCAGTGGTGCAGAACTGGGTCACTTCCTGAATATCAGAAAAGTTTTCATTTAATGTCCATGAAAAAATGTCAAGATGAGGAGGATGGCAATGGAGGAGCCTGAAAAAGAAAACATTAAATTACCTTTTCTACAAGGGTGCAGAACTCTGTTGTATAACCAAAACCTGCATAAATTATAACCATGAGAGTTTAAAGTCACAGGCACTACAGTTTTATAGGTCCGGACTCTTTCAAGTGGATACTGGCATTTTTTTTTCCAACTTACTCAGATACAACGTGCATTTTATGACTACTCTGCATTGGGATTTTGCCTATACTGCAGACTGAAGTATGCTGTGGGAATGTCTGTGTTAACATGATGTGAGCTGCCAGTGTAAGTCCCACTGTGGCAGGAAAGACCTCTGTGGGGGCTCAGTTTTGATTTATCTGAAAATACTCTAAAACAGGGATTCTCAACCTGTTTATCAGTGGGGGGAAGGACTGTCCATTTGTGGCTCTCCAAAAGCCTTGCAGGCTTCATTTCTTTCCCTCCCGCCCCCTTTACCTAAACAACTATACAGAGCCCTGAAGTTCTGAAGTTAGAGATCTGTGGTAGGGATCTCGGAGATCTGTGGTAGGGATCCTCTTATATGAGGAGAAAGGTGATTGGTTATTATTTTTTTTTTAATTATGAAAGACACCACCAGAGTGGCTCAAGAGTGAAGTAAGCTTATGTGTCTTGTTCCTGCCTATTTCGGGAGACAAGGTCTAGAAGATACCCAACTATTTCCCATTACTGCACTCTCTGGCATTACCATCAGAACACTGAATCTTTGATGGCATTTCCTTCTCTTCTTTTCCTGTTCAACAGTCCCGTCATGACATGGAATCCCTTCAAGAAGCTGCTCACAGTCTTTAAAGACACTTCAAATCATATCATAGTACCCACCTATGAAGCACTAATACTAGCTGATCCCTGTTTGCTCCAAACACAGAACCTCTTTGTTAGGCCTATTTCACCTTTGCCATCTGAAATTATCTTCACCCTGTGACTTGCAACAAACCATAACTCTTTTGATGTCAACTTTCAGGCTATGACTCTTCTCAATTGAGACTGTATCCCCTTTAAAAGAAATGAGTGTGCACACCAATTTCACAGAAGGACAATTATTAACGCCCTTCAGGGTGGCAAGTACAGGCGCTTGTGGGGGAGGGAGCCACTCACAGGTTGAGAACCCTTGTTCTAGGGACAATATAACTGTTACCTATATAAAGTTATAAACACAGACAACAAAATACCCTTCCCTCTCCCCTCTTTTCTGCACAAAGACGTTTGTGCCCATTTCCACTCAACTGGATGACATATCTCAGAACAGGTGGTTATTTACATGCTTTTCTATAACATCACTTTGAAATTTCTGTATTTCACCAACTGTAATGACAATGGGCTCCTAGAAGTATGAATTGAAGTTCAGCCACCTCAGGCTCTGTAGGACCAATGGGAAGAATTAAATTCAGAGGATGTGGTCCCTCACCTTTGCCAGTCTCTACTGCTGAACCCTGAGGCCTTGGCTCAAAAGGTCACAACTTATCATGCTAGCATTACATGAAATAACTGTCTAGACATACATTTTATGCAGCGCCTGGAAATGAATTAAAAGACACAGCCACTTCTGGGCTGTTGTATTTAATTTGACATGAAATTCTTGTAACACTTAGTCCAACGTTTGTTTCCTCTGACAGAAAGGCAAGGCTTATGAACAAAATCCAGCATCGCTTTCATTGTGATTACAAACATCTTTGCCTGAAACAATGAAACCTGGGTGAAATGTTAAGACAGTTGTGCTGACACAGTTCAAAGCAGGAGGCTGCCATATATAGCAGAAAGCTATAATGGCAAAGAGGCTTTTTGCTTTAAATTGAAATGCAAAGGAGGCCCCAAGCCAAAAGACAGAACTGTTTGAGAGCATCCACTTGCTAAGCAGAAGGACAGTGCTGATTTGGGAGGGGATGGGTGGGGAAAAAGAAGGGGAAAGAAGGGGTCTGAGTGCATAGGATGCTCTGCTGCTATACTGACTTCATACCACAACCAATGTATTAGAGATGCTCTTGAACCTGGTGCTAGTTTCTCCAAGCTTCACTGTCCTGATTCTTCCCATCTCCATCTGATCCAGTTATGGTCTTCAGGTGATCTCTATTGGATTTTTAAAGCCACAACTTTATGAATTGTAACATCATACTTTTCCTGATAACTCAGTGGTTATGTTCTGCAGTAAGTTACTGTACTATTTCACATAATTCTGACTCTTCAGTGTTTTGATCAGCAAATATCACACAGAACCCATACCTCCATTTGAATCAAGTCCACAGTACTCATACAATGGAGTACCAAGACAGTCTACAAGTGCTTTACAAATAATGTATTTATGCACCCACTTATTAATTTGACTTACTAATGTAAATTGATCATAGACTTGCATCAAGTCCTCCATTTTGTACTGTTCTAGCACCACAAAATTTTCCAGGTTCGTGCTTATCTTTCTTGCACAGTCTTGGCAATGTACGACATAGGTCTTTCGAGAATTGCTCTCACTAGTGACAAAAAGCAGATCAAAGACTTCCACCTATTAGACAGGGAACAGAAAGTCAACAGTTACAGTTTGATTTTTTAGAAGTTAAACCATGAAACTATATTTTATTTGAAATTTACAGCCTTAACATGCACATGCAAAGAGAAAAATTACATTTGTTCAGGGAAAATCTATCCTAAGGCTCAGGCAAGTGAAATATTCTAAAACCACTAATATTACACGTATGATGTCTGCATGAACAGTGCTGTGGGAAAGCTTCTGGTCAATACAGCAAAACATGATTCATACTCTGAATAGGGGCTACTCAGTAAGGTGGGGATTTACAACAGTTATACCCAATTTTCCTTTTTTAAATTTGTCTGCAAAAGAAGTTAATGATTTATTTCCTTACTACTCAGTCATGTGCTACCATATCCTACCCAAGAGGCTTGGTCAGAAGATGACTAGAAACTCATTCTCAGGAGGTAAGAAAACTTTAGTTCCTGTTAAGCTTCATGAAAAGTATTATCCAATACTTTAAGATATCATTAACAGAAAGTAGAATAAAAAATTCCAGGAAAAATGTTATGTCCCTGTGAAGAAAATGCCCTTACATTGTCTCTCTTTTGGGGCTGTTGACTTCTGAAATGGAGACAGATACACATTCAAAATGAAGCTGAGCAGACTGAATTTTATGCAGGAAGGAATAACAACTTTTTATAATAACTGAGAATTGAAAATCGACCTTGTGAGTAACAATGCTGTGGAAGTACTGTGGAAGAGACTGTAGCCTGTGTCTAGAAAAACAGCTTGATAAAGCTCTTTGAAGCCTGTACAGGATCACATATATGTGCTGTTAGTATACAGTAGATGCTGCAACTTAAAAGCAATAAAAAAATAGCAACAACAGAAGACAGGACAATATTTAAATAACTATTATAATAGCACACAAGCCCCACACATATATTTACTGACCTCACAAATGCTACAGTAATGAGCTGGCTCGTCCTTTGCTCGCCCGTGCCAGACAATCTCTTTTCCTGCAGCAATTAGAGCTTCCCTCAATGTCTGACACTGTTTAAGAGTTCTTAACAGGCAGTACCTGTAAGCAAAATTGAGTTGTATGTTCAGTTCTGTATTAAACTTTATAGGAAGACTCAAACAGGATTAAATTTCTTTCAATGCTCGGCACCTGGAATTTCCTCTTCCTGTGCAATTTCAGAAACAGCTGGCTACTAAGAATCACTGGACTCATGACTTAGGCAGAAGTCAAACTACATGATTATGGACCTTTCTGTACTGCCCCTGGCCTTGCAAACAAACTTTGTTTTCAGTTTTGACTGGAATGCATGGATGCTCTTTTTTTAAGCACAATAAACCAGTGTGGTTTTGAAAGCAATTAATGTATTTTATTTTGAATACTGAATTTATTATCAAAAAGCTAGTTCAAACTTCTAAGTTAAAAATGTTTACATGTTGTGTAAATGACTACAGCCTCATCCAAAGAACTGCTTGAACTTACATCCTAAAAACCCTATTACTCCCTCAGCACTACTAGACTTTCAGCTACCGCAAGTCCTGGCAGGAATAACTTTACGTACAGTGTAAGTAAAATCCTTTTAAAAATGAAAGAGAAAATATTTTCTTCCATGCAGAAAAAAAAGAATAGGTATTAGAAAAATCAGTCCCTTACTAAAAAAGAAGAAAAAAAAAAAAAGGAATGAAGACAAGAACTGGTCAAATGTCAAACTCAAATCAACAACTCCCAGTTCCCCTGCAAAAACCCCGATTTTATCTTCACAGTTTTATACAGTTCTCTTCTTTACTAGAAAAATCTAACTTGTTTTCTAGCACTGAGCTACATACATTCTCTAAAAAGAAGTTGGCAAAGTAGGTCGCCAGATTTCTAAATTACAATGTGATTTACAATAATTTTTAGCTTTCAGCTATCCGATTTATATGAGCTGCAGCCTTTGCAGCCTTTAATCTTCTCCTCCACAGGGTGGTTATGTTACTACTCATTAGATGCAAAAGGAAGACTGAAAAAATGTAAGGGGAATAATAAACACTGGACAGAAAACAAAGTGCTCAAGAGTTCTATCAAAATATTTTCAAACTTGATCCTTCTCCTATTTTAAAGCCTTAAAGATATAATATATAAACCTGTATTAAAGAAAAATAAAAATGTTTCTTTCATGTGTTTCCAAGTAGTTAACAGAATCTTAGGCTTACTTTGAGATATTCCCCTCTTGATGTTTTCCACTCAGACCATTCATCTTCACTCAAACCAAGTCTATGGCTTCATTAATACCCTTACCGTAAGAATAACGCAAAAATGAAAGCATGTTTCTGTATCAAACATCATGTTTCATATACCAAATTTGAAGAGAACTGAACAGCTCATCAAGCTGTAAACTGTATGACTAAACCACATCCAGTCAAATTCAAGTATTTAAGTACAATTTAAAATGGACATCAGGAAGATGTCCTGATTGATTCTAGAAGGGCAGTAAAAAAACTGAATATTCAGATCCAGTAAAACCTTTAGAACTGTGGAGACCATCCCAATGGCACTGCAAAATTGACCTCTTTATACCTTTCAGTAATGTATCTTCCCTACTGAATCCAAAATGTATTTTATCTGGCTTCATGATTTTGTAACAATCCTCTCTCCCATGTCATGTTCTTTTACGTTTCTAGAACTATTTTTGTAAAAGAACTTAGTATTTCAGTTACTCTGGAATTAATTTTTTAAGCCTTTATTACAATGTTCCCACTACCTCTTAAAATTTTTCTCTTCCTCAGATGCATTTTTAAAAGTCCTTCTAGCTTCCATCTGAGAGGCCTGCAGTTATTTTTTTTCTTTTCTTGAGGGTCCCTCAGTCAAGTTTTACATCATTTTGTCTGCCTGTGGTCCTGCTCATAATTCCACTGTTAATATCTTTTAAAAAATCTCATGAGGAAAGCTTCAGCTTTTGCTCTTTTGTCTAGCAAGAGAGCACTGAATTGCACATTAACTAAAATGTAAGGAGATTTCACATTTGTTCAAAAAGCAGTGTCTCCTATTATTATTCCCTAATGCTTTTCTATTTCTTCTAATCATTTACCTGCTTCCTAATATTTATATGTATCCTTGAATTTAACTTTTATTTTTTCTGTAGTGGTTCCTTCCACATAACCAAGTAAGACATATTTGTATTTACCTTTCAAAGTGGAATTACAAACTACTTTTTATCATTTTCTAAGAGCTATATTCTTTTGTACTATTCTGATACCTAAAAAGCCTCAGAGACACAAGTCAAACTGCCCAAAGACTTCAGATATCTTCAGTGTGCAATTTTAGATACAGACTCTGTATTTGGCAGGAAGATGACAGCTGTGTCACCGATATATTTTTTTCCTGGTGACAAATGAGAAGTCAGCTATTCAAGATGAATTCAACCAGCTGTATCAGAAATCACTATTTCTTAAGTGTTTTTATACACCTGTATACACGCACACACATATATATATACACATAAATACAAATGTCTCTATTTTGTACATAGTGAAATCCAGGAAAAGTGGACAGCAGCTACTTGCCAGCTGGTGCTGTCTTCCTGCAGACAAGCAGTCTACAGGAAAAGTTATGCATGAATGTTTATACATTTCCAGTATGCTTACAAAGCCAAGGTCAGATACTAACTAGACTGTGCATTCTGGTGACACCTACTTCTAGGAACAGCTATACCATGATTTAGAGGTGGCCACAATGAAGAAGTTTTCTCATGTCACTGTTACTAGATGTATTTAACCAGAGCTCATCATTGTATCTTCCTTTTGCACGCATAGCACGGTACTTTGTATCAGTAGACTGGAAAACACAAACGTATGCAAGACCTAATTTTGTATCCACTCCTTAGCACCTCTTGTTTATTTGTAATCTACACCTTAAATTTAGGTGTCTTATTAGAGCTGCTGTCAGCCAGCAAGATGATAGGAAACTACCATGTTGTCTTCTGTGTTTCTTCACAATATTGTAAGCTCTCTTGGAAAAGGATACTATGCTCAGTCATGGTTTCTCTTTTTAAAACTGAACCATGGCAAAAGCCCCCAAACTTGTGCAAATGCAAAATACAGGTGGCTGAAATATCAAAATCATACTTTGCCAAAAACACTCTAGAACTGCTCTGAGCTTTAGAACAGATGCCTGCTGGGCTTGGGAAGATATATAAAGATAATTGTGAAATATGTTTGTGCCGTGGGTTTTTTGGTGGTTTTTTTTTTTTAATGGACATTTTGGCTTCCTCCCTCCCACACCCTGCTTCTTTCCCCCCTATTTCTCACTGTATCTCTTCAGTTTCTCCTCTCCCTTCTATGACACTATGAATATGAACACTAATAGCTTATTTGAAGGGGCAAGACAGTCAAGCCTTCAGCAAAGACTCTCTACCCCAGATATTAGTTATTAGATTTTTAAGGAACTATTCACATGTTATTCCAAAATCCAGCTTTGCAGTGACTAAAAACCTGTCTTAAAACTTCCAACATTCTTGGTTCTTACGTAATCATTTTAGCAATTCTACTATTCTGCAATACAGATGTTCAAGCCTAAAATAAAATCCTGCTGTAAAAGGTGTCTCAGATGTCATCAATAAATCCTACTGGGGAAAAGAAGAAATTATTTTTCATTGCCCTTTTTTGCATGTTAACCCACACTTTTTTCTAAAGGTCCACTTCAAGTCAAATTAAAAAAGGATTCAATTCTTGTGGATCCAGTATGCTGATAAGATTGAAGACGTGCTCAAGCTAGAAGCTCCTTTGCTGAGGCTTAAGGAAACCAGAGTGCTGCTACCACAGTATTCTCATGATGAGTAATTTGATTTGGAATTAATTCCTGACTTTTTTTAGGACAAACCTATGATATATGGTGAACTGTTCATTCATCCCTCAGTCTATAATGGTGCTGCAACATGAAATATGCAGGATTTGCTTGAAGTTGCACTATTTGAAGAAAATTACTAAAGATGCTCCAAGCCTGTAATATTCCTGCATTTTGGAGTATGCATCTAAAAAATGTCACTAAACTCAATTATCATTTTTCATATCAAGTATTTCATTGTTCAAAAGAAAAAGCAAAGGGTAGGAGGCTTTCAAATTCCTACTTGACTCTATTTAAAGCATTTATACTGAATCTCCAAATGACAGAATGTGAGCACTAACTAGAGGTTCTAGAAATATAAAATTAAGTTTAACTTTGCTGTAAAAATGACTAAACACTCTAATATTTGGGTTGATAACCTATTTTATTTTTTCTTACAGTAAGTATTCTGAACAGCTTTTGTCATCTAATTCAATCGTGCCTGTAAACTGCTGCACGAAGGCTATGGCATATTTAACAAGAAAGTTAATTTTATCACTCTGAAGCTGTGCAACAAGAACATCAATTAAAACATAGTAAACTTAGTAATACCTTGATTCTTTGAAAAACAGAATATAAACCAAATCTGGCTTGATTCTCAGGAACAGAAGTCTTATTAATCCTTATAATCCTTATAAAGCATTACTTACAAATCAATTATTGTTTTATGCTTGAAGAGGAAAAGGGTACAGTAAATGTTCAAATAAATAAAACTTACTTTATCATTTCAAAAAGCTTTGGATCTGAGACCTTGATATTTCGAGCCATATTCCATGAAAGATGAACCATGGGTACTATGGACTTAACACTCTGCAGTTTATTCCACTCGTACCGTTCCACTGCCAATTTATATTGACAGGCTGTACAAAAACAAAATTTCAGAAGCAATTAGTGAAATTAAGAAATAAGTATCAACCGCAGCCAAAATAACTTGATTATAATTCAAATTTATATCTTTTAAGGCTATACCTTTTAATGACCCATTCATTACAACTACACTTGAATTCTACAGAATTTCTTTTACAAAGTGCATTTATGATGCTAAAGAACACACAATACCACAGCAGCAACAACTATCAGTGAAAAGAAGTTACTGACAAGTGTTCAATTTCTATGAAGAACATAGAGCAATATTTCAAAACGGGTTACTTAATACATTTTCAAATATAGCAGATGAAAACCAAATGGCCTGAACTTGAAATGTCTGCATCTCTATTCACTCCATGATCATTTTACAATGCTGTAGTATATAATTTATCTTGAAAATGGAGACTACCCCTTAAGAAATCTGTTGAAATGGGTCAAACTTTTTCATTATGCAGCCTACTCACCCCACCCTTTTAAAAGAAATGTTTGGCAAAATTTACTGTGGCTGAACATGTGAGTTCTGTTATCAGTCAATCTTACAATCCCGGATATACTGTTTATTGCACCATAATGAAATGAGGACGCACCTTAAAACTCTTTAAGAAAACAGGGGTTCTTAGAAGTACATTCTCTTCAAATGATTCACAATCGTTTTAGCTGAAAATTTTCCCTTCATTCCTGTATCTAAAATCTTTCCAAGATCATGGCTCAAAACTAAAGACTTCTAGAGCAGTAAGCCTGAAAAACCTAATATTCCTTTATTAACAAAATTTTACAACTGTTGTAATTTCCTGATGATTTCCCTAGAGAGCAATTAGGTACCCACTGTCCCCAAAATGTTAAGACTGCACAAGTCCTTAAATTCATATGCAATCTGTAGTGAGGTCTGCTGGGCAGAACAAATTTTAAGATAAAAAGCTAAGAAATGGCCTATGAGAGAGAGTGCATGAATTCAACATAAACATTTTATTCTGCTAGTGTCTGCTATACAGCTGTTAATTTTTACAAGCACATTAAATGAACAAGTGCAAAGACTGCATTCTTGCTGCTTCCTCTTACCAGCAGAATTATTTAAAGCTTCAATACATCAAGTTTTAAAATACAGTACAGTTTTGGGTTTTTTTTTGTTTTTTTTTGTTTTTTTTCTGAAATCACTGTTCAGCCATACCTGTAAGAGGGCCAACATTCCATGCAATGTTGTTGCACCAGCCAATAGCCTGAACCCAATGAACAGTGCCAGCATTTATCCACACCAAATCCCCGGGTCTTTGAATAAATCTATAAACTGGGACATTGGCTTCATACAAGTCTTCCAAGTTTGGCCACCAAGATCCCATTAGAAAATTCATATTATTCCTGAAACAACAAGAAAAATGAAGACTTTAGCATTTATCAGCAAACAGTGATACTTCAATGAAATTACCTGTAAAAACTGATCACCACGATAAACACTTGCTACATCTAATCAGTGACCCAGGAGGACCACTCAAAAGGAAAGTTTCATCTATGAAATTCCTGATCCTGATTCCACATTTCATATCCTGCAATACATTAAAACACTAAACCATCTAGCTCCTGTGTGAAGTCAGTTTCTGGCTTCCAGTTATGTTCTACTTTCTATTTCCCAGTATTTTATTAATGCTGAGGCAGAGAAATCATTGGTCAGATCCAGCATGACACTGGTGCCAAATACTGCATTTTTGGCCAGTGACTGATTTCATATACAGACCATACCAGCTCTTAAGAATGCTTTCCATTTTGAACAATGCCAACCATGAACTCCTACTGTCAGTGTATGCATGTGAAGCTTATCCACGCAACAAGCAACCCCTTAGCACCACCTCAACTGTGATTCAAAGGTGTGTGCTACATTCAGCCAAAAAATGTTGACCCTCCTGAGAAGTACTGAAAAACACCTCCATGTGGATTGCCTAAGGATTAACTCTTCCGCTTTGGTTATGCAAAATACATGTTTCTCTCCCATCCTTATCCTGATTTTATACCGCTTTTATACCGCACCATGAGAGAGATTCGTAATTCACAGTTTTCAGGAAGGACAATTCAGTGCCTCTATCAGGCACTCTAGACATTTTATGAGGTTACCAAGATATTAGATTCTCTGTCACCGTCAAAGGACAGTATCATGAGGGTAAAAGGCATGTTATCATCAGAGACATTGCAATTGAATCAGTGGCATTACAATTTGGGATGGCTAATCTTTGTACAAGTAGATGAAATAAGAACAGTTGACAGTAGACAGGCAGAAGATAGAGACACTGAGATGAATTTGCAGAGCCCTGGAAAAGCTCTGAAGAAATGTCAGGAGCTTAGTCCAGTTTTTAACTGCGCAAGATGAGGAACAAAAAATTCTCCTGTAAACTTCAGAGGCTATGGTCTGAGTACCAGCATGATCAGGGGACACAACTCCTCCTCCTCCTCCTGGTGTTTGGTTTTTTTTTAGAGGGTGCATGTGCAGGCACATAGAAACTCCAATAGCAGAGTGTCTCCCTGACCATCAGAGCACCTCAACTTCCTCAAAAAAGCTACAAATACGGCAAAGCATGCCATGACACCTCCTGGGGTCTGAGTAAACTAAACCCTCCTTCTAGATGCAGCAAGAAACATGCCAAAATACCAATGTACACCATGTACGTGAAACATAACAAAGATTAACAGCATGTATCACCAGGAAAATACTCCATCACTCCTCAGAAAACCAAAACAAACTCCCAATTCTAGATTTTGCATTTTGACTTATCTTAAAGTACTTTTCTGAGTACATGGAAACACCATAAAATAATGTCCACTTAAAACACCCTCAGTAATCTCCCCACATTAGGTCTGAGAAAAGCCCAGAGAACTTGACAGAAACAAACAGCACACCCAGCTTACTTTTCACAGAAGTCATTCATGACACCCCAATAGCTTTCCGGGACAACAAACCATTCACAGTCACCTGGACCAATATTTATGTTTACTGAACAAAAGTTGTTATTTTCCTGATGACCTGAAACATAGAGGAAAAGAAACACAGTTTATGTAAGGCTGATCTGTCAAAGTAATGTTATGAAAATAAACAGCTACTATCACGAAACCTCTTACATCACAGTTCAAGTATTCGTAGATTTTTTTATGACATGCACACTATTTAGGTACTTCACAGTGTTAACAAATGCAATTAAGCTACCAGTGACAAGAAAATTCTGCTTTTGTTAGTTTGTGGGAAATAAGAAATTGGAGCTATTGATCTTGTGAATCTGATCAGTATTTCAGCAGTTCCCTTTTCGTAGAAATAAATGCTTCAAGATACTAAAACTTAGATTTTGCCTTTTATGATAGCTCTTGACAGTCCCAGTCAGGAGCAAAACTTTGTGACTCCAGGCACTAAACAGACAAGTAGTAAGTAAGTCTTTCTGAAAGAGCTTTCAAAATCAATGCAGAAATGCCAGTGTTTTATCTTCTTTTGACAGCTCAAAAACTAAGCCATAATCCCTAGTGGAATTCTCGGAAGTTGTACTTCAGAAAAAACAAATGCTGAAATTTAGTCCAGATCCCTTAACCAGCACTACTCAGTATGGAGGGTTGAGTCCTATCCTCAGCCAGTAAGGAATCTGAAAAGCAAAAGTGTACCAATTTCTATGATTGCACAAGACCTACTTTGGAAACCTATAAAAACTTTCAACGTGTATAAAATACAAGTAATGTCCAATTATATAAACCCATCTTCTTTTTTCCCTTTAAAGAATTCAGTATTGTGTATGGTAATTACCTAGCATTGCAGAAATCCAGGAATTTTCACTCTAAGGTAGTTTAGTACTTCATATGTGCACAGTTCAGTTAAACAAGACACTAAAAAAAATACTGAGTTTGTACAATTCCATCAAATTTAGGCATGCTGTAAGATATGGAGATCTGCAGTGCAGTTAAATCAATACCACAGCAGGAGAACCTCTTTTTTCATGCTAAGATATTATAACTATTCTATGATTCTATGATTCACCTGGTGTTCTGCTTCCTGGAACCTTCATGTACAGCTGCACTGTATTCATTCCCAGGATGGTATGACCAACATGGCTTAGAAGATTTCCTGCTGATACCACACGTACAAAAGCAGGAAGTTTTGTCAGTTCATGGAGTTGCAACTTCCACCTGCAGCAAAATAGCAGATTGACAAACTGTAAATCCCTAAAACTCTTGAAAGGCTTTGGGAAATAGAAACATTTTCAAAAAAATTGTTAGCACAGAAGATAAAGGAGCAGACAACCCAGTGCCATATAACTTAGCATCTAGTAAGAGGGAAACTGAGACAGTGCAGTACCCCTACTTGACAGTTACCAAATTTAAATGAGCTGAAAGCCAGGGTGGCTGGACCCACTCTCAAAGTTAGCCACTCTGCTGCTGTATTGCCAGGAAAATCTGCTTGCAATTTACACCTCTGTGTACATCCTTTCCAAGTGAAAACAGAGCTGTACTCTCCCCACACTCATGCCAGCCAGTCAGAAACTGTTAACCATGCTTTCAAGAGCCAAATGATATGATGCTACAACATATGTCAAGAAGACTGTCTAAACACATCCTACCCTGTGCACACAGTTGCTGCGGCCAAGAAGGTAACAACATGCACGTGCTACAGAACTGAATACTTGCATTAAGAAAAGCAGATCTCCAAAAACAAAAACCCCAGAACTTCAGTGCAGACCTCTGAAATGTCACCCAGGTTTGTGTTACGTAATTTTGGAATTGTGGTAATATTTAGAAGTATTTTGACAGTTGAGTGGACAAATTCTTCTTGTTCTAATAACTGAAGTAGATCTGAATTTTTGTACTCCAGCTGGTGGGACTGGCAGCCCACATATGCTGGATCTTTTATGGAAATATATACTAACTAGAGACTGAACCAAATAAAAATTTATTACTGGTTACTAGAGCCATGCTCTCAGAGTATTTCTAGTACCTCCTGATGTTTTTCTGAGCTACCTTCATCTGCTCTCAGAAGGATACACCCCCGAAAGAATTCTCAATTTATTCCCTTTTTTCTGAGGGAGAGGTATCAGAGGTAAGTACTGGTCTGGTTTTTACTACGTATTTTGAACCCTATTCCTGGATAGAGAAGCAAGAGCTAAGAAAAAGTGGAAAGGATGACATTAGGAACAAAAGGAAACAGAACAAAAAAAACCAGGCAAATCCAGGCAAACAAAAAAAAAAAAAACAAAACCCAAAACCTTTAATCTTAAAATTTCTGTGCAAAGACTTAACACTTGGTATTGTGAGATGTAAGTAAGGTTGTAAGCAAAGCCTCAGAATGAAACAAAGGGAATGTTTTAGAAGGAAGGATAGTAAGAACAGTTTCTGTTGGATGTTTAAGTTCAAAGATCCTGGGAAAAAGAGCTTGCAAAGAGATTTTAGTGGAGAAGGACTCATAGCAACAGTTTAAAGACCAAAGGTAAGAATTTCATTGTGGAAATGGGGTGTGCAACTGTAACTGGGTTTATCAGCAGACTGACTGATATCTGAGCAGAACACACTGGTTTTCCAGAAGGAGCATCATATTATAGAATACCACTGTGACCAGGAGAAACTGTAATCAACTTACTTCTTGTCGTCTGACAGGTCAATGTTGGTCCCAAATTTGATTGTTTTAAAAGGTCCTCTTCTCCTCCTCCCAGAGCTGTGCGTATAAAAAAATGTAACAGGTGAATGTGAAAATGGGAATTATGTAAAAAACCACAGGAAACCAACAACAAAGTTATCACAGTTATATCACACTTACTTATCAGAAGATGTGGATTCATTATCTGAGTGGTCCTTGTGGTGACTCTTCTTCTCATTTTCCTCCTATAAAATGCAATTGTGGAAATGTTGGGGTTTTTTAATCTATATAAATATACAGAAAAGCAAGGACATGTATATATACATAAAATAAACACGTATGAGTACTTTTCTTTTAACATGCTGGTACAATCTTTAAAATACCTGTATCTGAGATTTTATGCCATTATTACTGTTGAGAAAGAAAAAGTTATTAGTCAAAAGCCACTGCAAGAAATTCTGAATGGGTACAATTCAGTGAAGCTAAGGACAGGACAACAGAAAATATCTACATTGTAAATATTTCTATTAGCCTTCATTACAGTTGCAAATGAGTGCATTGGTTTGCATCACTATGCAGGTGAACATGAATCCAATCTTAAGGAATACTGTTAACTTTTTCAGACTAGAACATTTACCTTCCAGCAAAGTCAAGCAGGTATCCCAACAGGAAACTAGGATGACTAATATTTATAAAATTAATTTTATAAAATCCATTATGTAACATCTTTTGAATTTTTCATAGCCATATGCTATTTTAGCACTGCAGTAGCTAGGACCATGACTAGTGAAAAAATAAATCTAACCAATATTGAATGATGTCACTTGATCTTTTGAGCCGTGTGCACTCAAAACCCTATTCTAAAGACTCCTTTTTTGGCAAGTATATAGAAGGAAAAAGAATAAGACAGAAAGAAGGAATGAACTGCCTGGAGGCTATCCAAAGATCTAGGGTTTTGAATGGGATTGCTGTTAAATCTCAAAGTGCCCTATGTACCTGAGAAAGCCCTATTCATCCTTTGAACGAAGGACAAAGAGAAACAAAAAGGAACCTAGCGATGACGGATTTATCAAATACTGCAAGACATGTTAGAAAAGCAATGTAACAGTTGTCAGAAGAATGAAAAAAAAAAAAAAAGGATCACTTAGGGCAAGCCAAGAGGATTGCATCTGTAGAAAGAAGAAACAAAGCTTTCATTTGAACACTGTGAAAAGTCACCTAAGGACAGGCAAAAGCAGTGTTAGACAAATGACACGTACATTGCACATTTTCTTTCTCATTTGCAAGGGAAAAATTAAAATAATAATTCTGAAAATTGTTTCATATATGGGACTTTTAACACTAATTTGTAAGAGAGAAAAAAAGATCAGAAAATACTGCAGCTCACTTCTTGGCGCAAATCCAAAGCTGAGGCTTTCCTGCTGACAAGCTGGAATGTGATCAGTCGAGTACATTATCAAACTTGTGTATATATATATATATATATATATATATAAAATGTTCCAGAGAAGTAATGCTCTGGAACAAAGTACAAGAATACTATACTGGTGCAACTGTTCAAGAGGCACCAGAAAACTTTAGTCAATATCCCACTTAAATTTATGACTACTGCAAAGGAACAAAAAGCCCATTTATGTTCCAAGCTCTTGATTACTTCAGTGCCCCCCGAACTTCCCAATGATATTCCTGTTTCTTTTCCTCATCCTGTATCAGTCTCACTCAAAACCTAGTAACTACCTTCCCTTCTCTTCAACGACTGATTATTTTCTTAATTTATAATCTTTTTCTCCAATGCATGAAGTTTAAATTCAGAATTTCTCTTTCCTTTCTTACTGAAACCACTGCTGCTTCTGTGCAATGGAAGTGAAAACTGCAATAGACAACACCCACATTGGTGTTTTCCCCACTTTCTAATTAACAACTAGAATATCTTTTTGTCTTAGTTACACCTTAGCCTAAAACCAGGCAACTTAAGCTTCTGAGAAATGTTCACAGCTAATTCCAATGATGTGCTCACTAACTTCAGCAAAAATATTAAAAAGTAATAAGGTAACATTTCATGTACTTTACTCTGTCACATAAGTCTAATAACTTTTAAACTAAATAGAAATAGTTATGTTTGGAAACAAAGACAAGTGTGAGTGCAAGCTTCTAGTAAGCCACATTCAAGTTAATTCAGGATACTATGAAGAACAAAGAAATCTGATTTATCTGATTTGAAATCATGAAATTAGAAGCAATATAAGTTGTTTTGTTTTGGAAACAAACAAACAAAAAAGGCAACTTAAATTCTTGCTATTTTAATACGGATATTGACATTATTATACAAAACCTTAAGCTAACAAGCTTTTAAAGTATGTAACAGCTAGAAGTTTTACACTGAAAAAATGAAGTTTTACATTAAACATTTGTGAGGAACACTCTATACTATCTGACCCTCTATTCAAAACAGATTTTGTAGATTTACCCATGCTTTTCATGATAATGGAAATGTCTCTTTTTCATTAACAGATTCCATTTTTTTCAATGATTCCAGACTTAGTATACAGTTTGTAAATTAAAACTTAAATAATAACAATGGCCTTACCCTTAAAGACTCCTGGAATGAGGAGGCCTGGTACTGTGCATACTTAGCAATTGTTGTATGTGATCTACTGCTTTCACAACGCCAGATTTTCTTTGTTCCAGTGGGGTCCCAGTTTTCATCTGCTGGCTGCAGTAGCTGTGTTCTTACTTCTACTATGTGTTCGTTATTTGCTTCTACCAATGTCTTTGTAGAGAAGAGTCCTAGGTCTAATAAATAGGAAATAATAAATGACAGTTAAAATATAATAGAAGAAAGAAAATTAATACTTAAAGTTATCTAAAGGTTTAAACCATCCCAGCCTTCATAACACAGCCTACCAGTAGGTTAATAATTAACACTCACGGTTAATACTCAAAAAGCTTTTGTGCACACAGCAGTTGAAGCTTGGAAAAGACTTGGCAGCTACTGCATCGACTATATTTCAAGAAACATTTGACATGCATTGCGGTAAACAAATCTGCAAAACAACTTTTAAATCTATTACCAATAAAATATTTTTTAGACCTGAGTTTTATGAATGCGCTTCCATCAGATAACACATTTCCTACCAGCAGTGATAATTCCTCATCTCAGAGTTCAAAACATTGTACACAGTCAGATTACAGATCATTAAATCTAAGCACAAAGACATGCAGTCATAGCTTTCCATGGAAAAAAAGGCTATCTGCAAACTTCCACATCAATAGCTCAGCTCCAATCTGCTCAACAAAATCTTCTGGATTTTGGGGGCTTTTGAGATAATCAAGATTAGAAACAGCAGCAAACTCAGAAATGACACATTACCCTAATTACGTGGAATACACGTAATACATTATTACAAAAATAAAACATCCACCTTTAAGACATAAGACTTCCTTTGAAAAAACTCTTTTTTTTTCCTGAAGTAAAAAACCCATAAACACTAAACTTACCTAATTTAAGCGCTCCAGCAAGGCCACGTATTACAGTAACAGGGTTGTTTGGATTTGTACAAAATTGATGTAAAGGTGGAAAGAAAGCATCTCGTTTATTTTCCAACTGTAAAATTGCAATGGAATATTAGATGTCAGATGAATTTAGACTCCTTATTTGTAAAATAAGGAAAACAGAAAAAAGAGAAACAACAGGAAGAAGACAGGAACTTTCTCCATTTTCCTGCATTTGTAGGGAATGAACAACTACATCATACAACCCCTTCCATGATAAAAGCTGGGTTCACTCCTGAAATTAATTTGCTACTACAATTTATTTCTTGGCATGAATTATTCCCACATTACTTTGTGGCATTTGCAAATTAGGTTTCCTGCAGTTTTTTTCTTTATCTTATAGTATTCTTGGACATTCCGTAAATCTACAGAATTCTTTGAAGAGCAAGATAATATACTTTCTTCTAAGAAGGCAAAAAAGCTAACTCTAAAGATAACATATACCAGAAGCAGTATAATTAAAAAGACTACTCTTACAGTATATCTCATGTTAAACAGAAAGGTTGCGTTGATTTTCTTACACCTCTGCACACAACTGCTTCCAATTTCATCTAGCTCTCATCTCAGGCAGACTGCTTGTGTAGTACCAAACCAAAGTGCTGACTGCTTCTAGTCCTCAATTTGAGCTGACCAAACTAACTTGAGGTTTTCTTGATGGCTCTACAGACATACTGCAATTTACTCTTCTGTTTTCAAGAAAGTGGACATCTGTTACTGAGGAAGTTAGCTCAAACTCTTCATAGAGATATCATGAAACGTTAATTTTAGAACAGAAGTTTTAACCCTTGCATAAGAAAACACTACGCAGCTAAAACCTGCCTTTCCCTAATGATGTTTTGTTCTTAATATCACCCCAACATTTTTTTTTTACTATATTTTGAAGGAAATCATTAGGAGAGTATAATTACTAGTCCATTTATACCTAAAGTATCACTTGCAAAAAATGTACATATGTATTTGAAACATTGTGTGTTGTATCTAATGACTTGTTTTGCTTATTCTGCCAATATTTTGAGTATTAACAAACCCTCAAAAATTTCTGAAGCTGTTTTTCAGGTATGTAATTCAGATATCCAAACACTTACAAAAGGCAGTCAGCAATGTACTTCTACCATGAGATTTACTTACATAAATACTAGGTGTAGGTGGATTCAGCTTGTCCTTTGGCAAGGGAGGGTATGGTGGAGGCGGTGGTCGTGGAGGTGGGCATTTATCCAATAGAATACTACTGTTAGATAAGCCATTTTTACCCAGATTCCTAAAAGGAAAAAAGAGCTGCCTCTGTCAATTCTTGACAAATAAAGTAAATACATATTAGTGTCATTTCTTCTGCAAAATACTGATGTATAAGGAGAAGCCATAATTCAAGATGCAAATAAAGCTCTCATATTTTAATCAAGAATCCCCAGTGTATAATTTGGTATTATCCAAAATAATTCCCACTCTTCTGCCAAATCTGCAACATCACCACTATGAGTTAAAATATAGCCATTTTAAATATAAGCAAGTATGACTCATTCAACAAAATTTAACAAAAAAAAAAAGCAGTTTTCAAGTAGGAACAGCAAAGAACCTTTCTAGGTCAGCACTGGCTGGTGGATATCAATTCACAGCAGTTGAGATAACACAGTCTGGTAATGCTGTGCACAGCACTGTGGCAGAGCACAGTCAGAAAATGACAACGCTTCAGCTAAAAAAATGCTTAGTCACAAAACCAACTGTAACTACACTAATGACACTAAATTGAACAATCACCTACCCCTCTCTTAACATTTCAAAGCCAGGAGGAGCCACTGCTACATAATCCATTTGTTTGAGCAACAGAGGAAATGACCTACCCTGAAGAAGTTGCTGTGTCAACACCCATATACATGCCTTAATGAAAACTTTGCCAGTTGTATTTGCAGCCTTTCTATGGGGATTTCCAGATGTGGATACCCCACCATATGTGTTAGCTTTCCTATAATGCTCAACCTGAAAAATCCACATTCTGAGCTTAGTCTATATTCAATATCCAGCTACTGCCACCAGGAAAATATGTATTAACAAAGCCATCCCTTAAATTTTTGTTAAGAACCACTCGGCTACTCCAAAATTCTTCACGCTAAATGCTATTCAAATCCTTCTTCCAACCTTCACCAGCTGCTGTTACCTCATCTCAACATCCCACAAAATGGGATATTTCTAATGCATAACGTAGTCATGTATCCGTGTAAAACTCACCGGTTACAGAAAAATCATTCTGGCAACAAGTCTTCAGCAGAAAAACATCTGGCTTACATTAGATGAAACTCCCAGCAATACAGTTTGTCTCAAACTGAGAAACTGTGATACTGGCACTGAGGAACACTGGAGAGCTGGATGCTGGCATGTGAGACCACTGCTTCAAATCAAGCTACCACAAGCCACGAGTAAGATGGACTTGGGGTGTGAGATCAGATGAGACTGACTGACGCTTTAAAGGAAATGAGCAACCACCTCCCGTACCCCAAGCTGCAGCAAAGATGAACATCCTGGGAAACCGGTGCTCACCACAACAAACAAGTCAGTCATTCAGTTCAGAGCTTACACCAGCTTTGTAACTCATGGATTGCTCTCCCCTGACAGAAGATCAGAGCAGTACAGACAGACATATTTAACAACTGTCTCCAAAGCGCGCCTGTCAAAATCCTGGACACAGGTCATTCCCTGTGCTAGGTTAAGTGTAATGCCAGAAGAGACTGCAACTTCAAAGAAACTGAGAAAACAATCCAGTTTTGCTTAGGCATCATCCAACTTGACAAACAATTAATTGGCCAATGCTTAATGTTTGATGCCCTTCTTGCAAAGACCCTATTGTCCCTACAAACAAACCCCAAACAAACAAACCAAACCAGACCAAACCAAACAGGGTGGAGGGGTGGTTGGGGGAGACAACCTCCCCATGAACACCATGAAATAAAATCACCATCAGCAAAAGAAATTTATTGACCACAGTTGCACAAATACAGATCAGTTACACACAGTGAAACTATAATCTGAATAGTAGGTATTAGAAAAAAAACTATAACCTTTGCATTACCAAACTGAGAAATAAAATCGAGAAAAGCAAATGTAAAGTATTAAAAACCAAAGAGAACATCAACAAAATTCAGTTTGCACTGATAAACAGTTCTCAGGTGCCTTCTGAGCCAAGAAAGATGAGAAAGACAACCTGAAGAAAAAGGGACACTGCTCAGAATTAGCATGACTTAAGCTACTGTACTCACAAGAAGATAATTACCACAGCAAAAGCCCTGTAAAGCCAGGGTATGAGGGGTCTTCACAGAAGCAAAACTACAGAGGAAGGAGAAACTCCTGTATGCTTAGAGAAACAGGACTAAAAAAGCAAAGCAGATGGAGAAGAAAGCAGACAGTAGAGAGGAAAAGATAAGATGAACAAAGATATCTCAAACCCAGCACTTGAAACTGATACTACCAAATGTATGCCACAGTTTCCTATTAAAGTTACTAAAACCCTGTGTGGAAATTTCAAGAGGGGAAAGGGGCCAAAGAAAAGCAAAGCTGAGAAAAACGCTCAAAATTCAAGTGGCACAGGAAACAGATGGGCAGAGTATTTAAAGTTGTCTTTAACAGACCAGTTTCACTCTTTTTTTTTTTTTACTATGAATCAGAATGACTTACTATTAATAACAATGCAAGAGAGCTATTAAAAAATAACGCTGTAATTAATAGTGTGCAAAACAGAACAGAAATTAGAAAAAAAAGCCTCACCACAGAAGTACTAAAAAGATTTGGTTCTGGCACCTGAAATGGTGTAAACGTCCATGGCCAGCCACTCACCTCTGGAAACACAGAACTACAGCCGGTGCAAGGAAAGGGAAAGACCCTTTTGGACCACAGCAATTATGAGGAAAATCTCACATATCTCTGTTTCATGAGTGTATTTTTTTTTTGTGAGAGGATTTCATACTGGCTGAAAGAGGCAACAGATGCAATGCTCAAGAAAAAACAGCGTGAATTAAGTCCCCAAATGAAACTGGATGCCCAGTAATCTACAACACCATGATGGAGGAATGGAGAACAGACTTAATTCATTTAAACAGACTTTCCAGAGGGAACTGGCTTTTCACAGACTGCGCAAGCAGAACATCCTTTACACCTGCAGAGTGGGAAAAGAAGGCAGGAGCAGCTGTCAGCCTCAGAAAGGAAAGGACAGGGGTGCACACTGATGTCTAGAATTGTCTTGAGTGAAAGCTGCAGCTCTCCATCCACTGCAGTCTGCTCCATGGATAAAAGCAGTAAGTCATGCAACTGTTTTACCCTAAGGACCAAACTCAAACTGCCATCTGTGCTTATAAGCAACTATAGATAAAACAGGTGCCTTGATTTCATGTAACTATGGGAGCTCTTTGAACAAGCAATTATCAGATTCAAGCAATTATCAGATTCATTAAAATACACCTTTATTTTTCCATTTTACTGCTTTGTAGGATACATTCCAACAACCTTCTCAAAACAGTTCACAGCCTTCAGTCTTAGAGAGTAACTTCTCTGGCTGTACCAAACCATGCAGTTAACAGAGAAGCAGAGGTGCAACCCATTTTGCTCTGCAGTAATATTTGTCCTTTTCATTATAGAGCACTCATTCCCCAGTCTGAGCTTTTAGCAAATACTAGCACAAGTAATTTAATGTTACCAATGGAATTCTTGACAAAGGGAGACCAATAGCTTAGCCTGAGATGATTCCTTCACACTTCTCTTGAGTTTACTATTTTCACTGCATGGACAACCCAGTCTGCAGCTGGGACGTCCTTTGGTCACTGGAAGATGGACTCCAGCTGCTCCAGCCTTAGAGACTCCCCTGTTGGAGTCCTACAGCACTATCAAAACCTAAAAAAATCTGATTCCAAGGCAATATTACTGAAATATTTACAACTACATGAAACTCATCAGGTAGCTGTTACGTACTTCATAGGTAGTGCATTGACACTGCATCATCCCAGCTGACTAAGACACCATGCAAGTTTAAAGCCAACTGTGTTACACAGCTGTATTAATTTTAACTCTATTACACAAACTCTCAACCACATAAAGAATATTAAAGTTAACATGATAAAACTTACGTTCTGAGAACCAGGAATCATTATGTTTAATTACCATCCTTTACATTTATTAAATTAGTTACCTCAATAATTCTATTATTTTGCTTAAGCCTAATGTCACTGAGAGGATTAAATCTATTTCTCAGAAAGCAGTCCCACAGTGCTTTTCAAGTCATCTGGATCTTTTTCTGTTTTCCAAGAACTATCAAAAAAGAAATAACCTGTATGAACAAGAAACAGCAATTCTCTGGCCTGCTCTTTCAGAGCTCATGGGTATGTGTTTTTCAGGCCTCTGACTTAAAAATGCCAAATTTAACTACTGTATAACTTTCTCCTTGATAATTGTGAAAACTAAAAGCGTGTTATCATACATTCCATGATGTAAACTTTGTATCTGCCTTTTTCCCAAGCACAGAACAAAAATATTTACTGAACTGCCTTGCCTCTATCGACTATTCTGATAGTTCTGTGCAGCCATAGCACATTACTAGGTTTTGTGTTTTTTATTTTTCTTTCTTCGCTATAGTTTTCCTCTTCCAAACTTCATTTCTGAATTTTTTTAGAACTCTTTGCTTTGGAACTTCAAAAAAATATTTGCCCTTCTTGTTTTTAATTGAAAGACTGACTTTTTGATAATAACAAAAACTTCCTAAACAATTTGCAGTTACCTGTACATTTGGATTTTAGGCATACTTAACTGGCCCAAATAAAAGTTACAATCATCTGCACTTAAGTAGTTATTTTTGTTGTGAAGTCGGTCTGTTTAAGAGATTAAGGATTATCTGCATGAGAATTAACAAGCTTTTTACTGCTCAAGAGATTATAGTTATTCTGAGGAACAAACTTAATACCCTCTCTTCACAAATAAAAATCACATTAACATGACTATAAGGAACTGTGCATTTATGTGACACTAACTCAAATCTATCAGAATGAAATAATCTACGAAGAATACATAAAACATTTTAAAAATGTGCCTGCAGAAGACACCAGTTGAAGTACTGGGAAGCACAGTACATACTCAACCCAGTCCTGATTGAAAACACAGATTCCCAGGCCTTAACAATCAGTGGACACTATTAACTCCTTTCATACTGCAAGTTACTACAAAACCACAGAAAAAATGTCTGTCAACACCTATCACCCTGGGAAAGAGGTGGATGCTCTCCATGCC